TGATTTATCATTGCCTCCCCCTTTTTTTAGAACCTTGTCCTCAAGGTTCAGGTTACCAAAGTGTTCTTGAAGTGCTTCAGCATTTTCCCATGTTGCATCTTCTCTTGGGAGCTGTTTCCATTGAACCAAATTTTCCTTTACAATGCAGGAGCCTTGCTTTGTCCAACGGGCATCAAGGATGACATCTGGTTGAAGAATGAGTTCGCCTTCATCTGTCTTTATTGGTAGTGCATCCGGGCTGCTGGGGGCGTCTCCTATTTTCTTTTTGAGCATGGATACATGGAAGACCGAATGAATTCGGGCCTCAGAAGGGAGTTGTAATTTGTATGCAACCGGTCCAATCTTTTGGATGATTTTGTAGGGTCCATAATAACGACAAACCAATTTTTGAATATGCCCGTTTGAATGCTGTTTGTTGCCAGTAGGGTTGTAGCTTAAGAAATACCCAGTCACCTTCCTGAAACTGAACGTCACATCTTTTGGCATTGGAGAACTATTGCATTTGGTTTTGTGTTGTTTATAGGTTGGCTTGAGCTGCCTTAGTGTCTCATCTCTAGTAGTTAACTGAACATCCACTTCATCAACAGAGGTCGCACCTGGTTGGTACTTGGGAATGACTAGTGGTAGGCGGCCAAAAAGAGCCTGAAATGGGGTCACGCCAATAGCTGAGTGATAGGTAGTGTTGTGCCAGAATTCGGCCCATGGAAGCATTGTGCTCCATTTGCGAGGCTGTTGGTGACTAACGCATCGCAAGTATTGTTCTACATACCAGTTGACAACTTTGGACTGCCTATCTGTTTGCGGGTGGTAAGAGGAGCTTATCTTAAGTTGGATTCTTGAAAGCTTGAAGAACTCTTGTCAAAAATGACTGATGAATACTAGATTTTGGTCGCTTCCAAAAATAGATCTAGGTATGTCATGCAATTTTACTACATTATCCACAAACCTCTCTGCTATAGTTTTTGCTGAGAATGGATGAGATAGAGCAAGAAAATGAGCAGACTTACTGAGGCAGTCGACTACCACGAAGATGACAGTTGTCCCATTGGAAGGTGGGAATCCTTCGATAAAATCTATTGTGATATCATCCCATATCTAACACGAAATCGACAGAGGTTGAAGAAAAACTGTAGGGGAGAGGGTTTTCACTTTTTCCCTTTGGCATATATCACAGGCTGAAACATACTGGTAAACTGTGTTGTGCATTGCGGGCCAGTAAAATTGTTAAGCTAGGCGTTTGAAGTCCGGAGCACGCTTGAATGACCTCCCCCTGGAGAGTTATGAAATTCTTGTAATAACTACTGACTAATCTCGGTATCTGGAGGATCAACTACTCGGTTCTTATAGTAGATCAGTTCATTTCTTTCTGTGTACAGTTGTCCTGAGTTTTAGGAGGCGTGTTTCTTGAGTTTTTGCATATAAGGGTGCTCGAGTGCTGCCTTCTAAATGTTGTCCCAGATATTACAGTGGGGAGCAGATAGACTATGCAAGACGGGACTTCCTTTTTTACGAGAGAGGGCATATGCGGCGGAGTTTTCCATCTCCGATTTGTAGAGAATCTCATAGTCACACCCGAAGAGCTTGGACATCCATTTCTGTTATTTTGGGGTAGTGATGCACTGTCCTAGAAGATACTTGAGACTTCTTTGATCTATCTTGATAAAAAATTTATGGCCAAGGAGGTAGGGTCTCCAGAGTCGTATGGCCACGACTATTGCTAACATCTCTTTTGCATAGATAGACCAAGACTGGTTTGATATTCCGAGGGCTCTGCTCATGTAGGCTATGGATTGTCTGTTTTGAGTGAGGACAGCCCCAATTCCTTCTCCTGAAGCATTTGTCTCAATGGTAAATGGTACACTTCAGTTGAGTAAAGCCAATGTAGGGGTGGTGGTTATAGCTTTCTTCAAATTTTTAAATGCTTCTCCTGCCTCTAATGTCCATTCAAACTTTCTTTTTTTTAATAGGCTGATCAGTGGTCGGGCCAGGATCCCATAATTGTACACAAACTTTCTGTAGTACCCGGTTAAGCCCAAGAAGCCTCTGAACTCAGTGGTGTTGCTTGGTGGAGGCCAGTGGATCATAGCCTGAATCTTCTTCTGATCAACTTTTACTCCGGTATGGGTGACAATGTGCCCCAAGTATTCTAACTCTTGCAGCCCAAACTCACATTTCTTTAGCTTGAGAAAGAATTGATTCTGCTTTAAAACTTCTAGTACTTGTCTCACATGATCAATGTGGAGGCCCCAAGTACTTTAAACCAAAACATCGTCAAAAAATACCAAAACAAAGGAATGGACAGAACATGTCGTTCATGAGAGCCTGAAATGTAGAAGGGACATTGCATAGACCGAAGTGCATCACCAAATATTCATAATGGCCACTATAAGTTCGGGAAGGCTGTCTTGTACACATCAGGAGGGTATACTCTGACTTGGTGGTACCCAGCTGTCAGATCAAGTTTGGTAAAAAGGGCAACACCATGTAGCTCGTCAAGCATGTCATCAATGGTTAGGATAGGGAAACGGTCTTTGATGGTGACCGCATTAAGGGCCCCATAATCGGTGCAGAATCGTCAGGTGTCATCTTTCTTCCCTACGAGCAACACCGGGGATGAAAAGGGGCTGGTGCTGTGTTGGATGATCCCGCTTTTAAGCATTTCATCCATCTGTTTCTCTATCTCAGCCTTTTGAAAGTAGGCGTACCAGTATGGTCGGACATTCACCGGTTCAGCCCCTTTGCCGATGTCGATGTGGTGGTCAATCTTCCGGGCAGGTGGTAGTGAATCTGGAGTGCGAAAGAGCATTTCAAATTCATCCAATGAAGCTTGCATGTCTGGCCGGAGCGCTGCCTTTTCTATCTTCCCTGTTTCTGCCAGCATGCAAAGAGCAAAGAGGGAGGGTCGGCGGCTGAGTTCTCTGGCCATGGCGTCGTTGGAGGCTTGTTGAATGGGTTCGGCCGGCAGGCCTTGCAATCGGTGGAGCTGATGATTTCTAGTGAACTCCATCGTTATGGTTTTCCAATCACAGCAAACTGGCCCCAAACTTACCATTCAGTCGGGTCGTCCCCATCAAATGTCAGGAATTCTAGCTTTGCGATTCGGGAATCGAGCAGGGGTCGACTTCCGTCTACTCATTCAGGTGCTTCTTCGTGAGACGTGTATAACTGCCCAGGGCGGTCGGCGTTGTTGCTGCCGGTGCCTTCCCTGTTGAGCATCAGGGACTCTGTAAGCCGTCGGACTGTGTTTTCGAGCTGTAACATTCGGTCGACCAGGCCGACCTCCATTCGGCTGAATTGATCCTGCATTCCGCCCGCGCTTGCTTCCAGGTTTTCTATTCTTTCCTTCTTGGTAGTCATGGCTTTGATACCAGTTAATAGGTTCCAAGCAGATACCTACTGAATGTGAAAGAAAATTTCTTCTCGTTTGGGTGAGAAAGAACTACAAAATTGTTTGCAAATTTCAGATGATTTTCATCGCTGTAAATGAGTACTTAAAATACAAAAATTTCTAATTGAACTACCATTAAACTAAGAAGAAAAATCAAAATAAAAAATAAGCTTAAGGATAAGATTGTGGCTGATTCCGGCTAACAGCTAGGCTCCATTTTCTGCACATTTCTCCTCTTCTTCTGCACTTTGTGGTTTATCACATCATTACCAAGAAGATTCAAATTCTTACGCAATAGCAAGGAAACCAAAATAATGCATATCAAATATGTCCATCAATAGTACTACATCGTCCGATTAGTTTAGCATCGTGAGATTACTGAAACTTGCATTAGGATACCATGGATATATGCGTGTAAGCACATGCATTTTACATACAATATGTATCTGCGTGTGTATGTACATAATGAAGGTATATGATCAGCATAACATGAATTGGATTACCAGCAAGGGAGATCGCCGGCCGCACTAAGCCAAAAAAAATGGTCGGAGATTAAAAAAAAGATCGAGACCTTTAGAACGTGCCGGTATTGTTCTTGGTGACTTCAATCCATTTTCTTAACTCCCTCCTTGAACCTTCCGCCGCTACTCTTTTTATTGCGGCTTAAAACTCTTAGCCACGTGTCAGCCATCGATTCAATGAAATAAGAACAAAAATATAATTAAAAATAATAAAAATTACACAATAATTTTAATTTAAATTAATTTAATGTTTAATTAAAATCAAAAATATTTTCATAATCTTTAATAAATAAAATTAAAATTGATTTAGTTAAATATTAGATGGGTGGGTTATAAATTAATTAATATATGATACTCTAGGGTTAAGATAAAATTTTATTTATTTCAATTTTCAATATAATGAGATGATAACAGATGATATTTGACTACCAAATTTTGAATGAATTTTAAATAATTATATTTTCTATTATACTCTTATAAAATATATTTAATTTTCATTATTTCCTCCTAAATAAATAATTATTTCAAACATATTTTAATTTTTTATTTTTTAAAATAATTTTAAATTTAATATAATAATATATAATTATAACTATCTATTTTTAATATATAAATATTTTTATTTTTATTAAAATTAAATTAATATAATAATTATTTATTTAAATATAAATTTATTTATATTTTTATATAATTTTTTTTAATTATATATTTTTTATAAACTATTTACTATTATATATAATAAGATATAAATAAATTAATAATTTTATTAATAATAAAATAAAAATAAATTAACAATTTAACTAAAAATACAAATATATTATTCTATCATTCAAACAAAACAGTTGTTATTAATATATATTAATACGCAATCATCCAAATATAAAAAAAAAAAAAAAATTTATTATTTTCATCTTTTGTCATTATCATTCAATCACTGTCATTGTTATACACTAATTAACTATCACTAAAATTTATCCAAACAGAACAAAGCTTTGAGTTACTGTCACTTTAGTAATTCAAAACTGTTCTTAGGCTTACTAAATAGACACGAACATAAAAAAATAATAATAAATGCTGTTATAGAAATTAAATTTCTCAAGTCACAGACAAATTATATGCTTGGAAACAGACAAGTTCATAAGCACAAGCATCAACTTATAGGGTCAAGTATCAGGTTAAAAAGACTTCCCTGCTCAAATCAAATGTACCCAGCATTATTGTCAGAATGGAACTCTTATATAACTTAATGGCATGATATAACATGCTGAAAGAGTAGACTATTGGATTGATGACTTACATATGGATACGTTATTAAACTTTATTGACCTAATGAGCCATAAGATGCAACTAAACCTTCTCACCAATGGAGCACCATAACCTCCTGAATGGCAAAGCTGTCATGAACCTGTAACCATATTATTCCACTAAACTACCATGTTTGTTACTCCTCATATCATGCTTGTATCTTCTGTAAATCCTGCTTCTCAGCTACTATAGCTGCGTGCTGCTCCAAGTATTCTTTGCTATTCATTTCTGTTAGTCTGCGGTCATTAAAGGTTTTGTGATTAACAATTGCATCGAGGAAAAGCAGATCCAGCCAAAACAACTACTCAATTGTATGTAAAAGAACAAGAAGCAAAATTTCTGCTCTTAGTATTTTATTTAAGAGATGCTGCATGTAAGTTTTTCAAGTTCTTCGGACGAACATCTCATCGTTTTGACACGCTATACCCAGAATATATAAAGCTTTCATATTTCTTATATCTTTTTCCTTAAGAGGAAGCACTGGAAAGACAATTTATGTAGAATGTTATATACACATGTCCTTAATCAAGGAGAAATGACAGGCAACAAAAGGTAACAAATAGAAGGCTTTTTTATTCCAAACAAGCTGCTTTGCATTCTAAATTATCTGTGACTATCTTATACATTTAGACTTTTAGACCACTTTTTAGTTAGAAGATTAAGAATCCGTATGGTACCGAGAAATATATTCAGATTTTAATTTTCTAAGTCCATTATGTTTACGCATAAGAACATATATGACAATATGAATGTGTGGTACTTGGTATAAACAAAACATTTTCTAGAAAATACTAAAAACATTCCTCTCAAATTCATGTTGTCTTTTTCCTATCATTTTCAAAAAATTACTTTTGTTTTCAGTTACTCCACCTTTTTTATGTATAAAATATAAACAAATCCAGAGAATAAAATTTAAAAACTGTATGCATGTACCTAGAGGACCTTTGACTGCACTAAATATTTCAAAATAAGTTCTTTAGTCGGTTAAACTATTACCCAGCAGAAGGTAAAGATAACATAATCGGTAGTTAAGAATCAAATAACTTACACAACACCACAATCAAATCCCCCTTGACTTTTCTCCATTGAGAATTTCGGACTGCCTTAAATCCACATAAGATATCTAGCATTTTTTTATGCTTATGCATCAACCATGTAATATAGCCAACTATGTAATATAGCCAATTGTCTACAAACAGAACCTGATCCAAGACGCAAAGAACACATGCCATCGAAGCCATACCTACTAATGGTGCGGTCTTTTGCAAACCCCAATTCATTATCAACGCAAAGATCAGAGTCATCATTTCTCCTTGATCTTGAAGAGGTTCTAGGAGCCATATGCTGTGCATCAGAGATTGTTACTATTCTCTCAAACAGTTCTTGAGGACTCCCTTCAGCAGTACATAACAGTCTGGCCTTGTTCTCATACATCACCTGTCATTTGAAAAGTTGAACCATAGAAAGAAATAATTATACCATAGCCTCTTGACATCAAGAATTAGTTGTAGAAGTACATGAGATTTCAATTTATGGAAACTTAATCAATATGAGGATTTCATGCACGTGGTCCTAAAGTAGCCGAATATTAAAGATGAAAAGAGACCAGGGAAGAAGTCTTCCGGAATTATAACTGGTGCAAGGAACATTTTTATAGTTCACTTTTTTCCTCTCCCAACACTCCCACCATCAAAAAGTTTAAAATTAGGGGAAATTTAATTAATCATCGCAAAAGTCTGAACAAATCATATTGGAGGATGGGTAACTGCAGACTCTTAGATCCATGCCTAAGTTTTATCAAAGTGCTATTAAGACAGGTGTTCCTCAAAGTCCTATTAAAGAGACTTCCACATAGCAGAGCAGACAAGCAAAGTGGGCTTCTTTTTTGCTTGTTTGCTCCACTGAAATCAACCTAAGTCTAGTTGATTGAACCTGATATACATTGGCTAAAACTTTTGGGGGTAAAAGAGCAAATTCATCATATACAAGATTGTTTCTCTTTTTTTTTACATATAAAAATATCTTTCCATCCTCTTCAAAAAACTATCCAGTGAGTTTGAATGTGTTGGAGGCTAGTGTTTGAACCATGAGAAGATTCTTTTAATCTCTAGATATTTTCACAGTGAATTTGATCAGGCTCTGTCATGATGCAAGTCAAACTGACCAAAACATGTAATCTCTATATTCTCTACTTTCTTGTTTTATTGCTTGATTGTTTATTTATATGTAGATAACACAAACATATATACACAGGAAAGCATAAAGAAATGTAAACCAAGAAGGATCGACAAATGTATGATATCATTCTCCTACTGCTGGAAATACATAGCCAAAATGGAATGCAGCATGAAATTGAGAAGTATTCAAAAGAACAAGAAAGGGCACACACATCAACTAGTGTAACAAACCGATACGCTGCAGTCCTGTTGTGGAGGCCAAAAACTGGGACACCTTCCAATGCTAGTGTATGAAAGGTCTCTGCAACAAGAAAACAAGTCAAGAAAATATAAAAACCAGAGAAGGGAAGGGGCGAATCGGGCAGAAAGCACAATAATTGTAAGATATGCTGCAACATGAGCACATTGAGACATTCAACATGACAAAGAAACCACAAAAATTTTTAGACACCTCAACTAAGGAGCTTGCCTGTGATCAATTTCTTTTTTCTTTTTTTTTTAGGAAAAAGAAAAAGAGTTAGCCTATGACCTTACTTGGCAGTTGAAAAAACAGAAAAAAATAGTTCCTAAATTCCAGTGCCTTTGGAACATAGCCAAGGAAATTGTCAGAAATGCCTAATATCGCTTATAATTCGTAGTATTTTATTTTCTCTTTATCCTATTATACTTCTAGGTATTAACTAGCTTACTCTTTTTTGAATGTGCAATTTCAAATTCCAGAAGTAAATTCAGTACAGCCATAACCAACTTCTTGGATAGTTGCATGAACGCTAAGATGCAAATAAAAATATATTCAAACATGACTTACTGAATAGACTAATATCTGCAGTTCCGAGACTTATACTACACAAACATTTAAAAAAGGCTAGCTGCAACTTTGTCAGAAATGCCTAATAAGGCTTATACTTCATAGTATTTATTTCATCTTTATCCTATTAATACTGTCAGGTATTGACTAGCTTTATTCTTTTTTGAATGTACAATTTCAAATTCCAAAAGTAATTTGGTACAGCCATAACCAACTTCACGGATAGTTGCATGAACTCTTAAGATGCAAATAAAAACAGATTAAAAAATGACTTACTGAATAAACCAAAATAATCTGCAGCTCCAAGAGGTCTGTCACATAACTCCTCAAAAGAAAAATACGCACATCCACTGGCACCCATTGGAACCTGGCACCACAATAAAAAATAAATAAGAGGGCTAAATTTTGATATGTATTCACTGCTTGATTTATGCCTCAGCAGAACACAAATTAAAACACACCTTCAATGTCCTTCCCATCACTACTTCCACCTCTGCTGGACCAGCTGAACTTGTCCCACTCAGTTGTTGAAACTTTTGTTTTAGAAGGGCTGACAAATCTTTGCCAATGAAGTAAAACCCTTGCTCTGCCTGCAGTTCAAGAGAAAGGAAATAAATTTCTTGTACTAAAGTAATGATACCATCTGACAGAAACAAGATGAAATATATTGATTTGCAAAGGTTTGTAACCATACCGAAGTCATTTTCCGGTAGTCTACTGAAGAACCAATTTCATGAACCACACATCTCTCCTGCAACAGATTTAAATTTCCCTTTATTATTAAGTTTATGAAGCATAAGCTGATAAGGGGTACATATACAAAAGGGTGCATTTTCCTTCACATGAAACCAACATGTTTGTCAGCCTCAAAAAGAAACAAGTTGTATCTAAAGTTCTACCTACATCATTCAAAATAATTTGCAGCATTGTTACTCAAACAGCAAATAAAAAAAATCCTTTACAAAATATACCAACAATTCTCTATGTATTTAAGGGGAACAAAGAAGTTCCATGTATTTTATTAAATATTCTCAGGAGAGTTCCCAATTGTAATAAGAAAAACATGAACATACTTTCAAGGTAGAAATGAAGGGCAGGAAAAGATCCCGCTGCAATCCCCTTTCATAGAGGTTATCTGGAGCACGATTTGAGGTGGCAACAAGAATCTACACTTGCCTCGCATCATTGTACACAGACAAATTTCTCATCAGTTCCAGCTGAAATCCACTGAACCACATCATCCAAGTGACAGGAACATAAAACAGAGATACTGAAATTAGAATACTTACAACACCATTGCTGAAAAGATGTCTGAAAAGACGGTTCAGTATCAGTGCATCAGCAACATCAGTTACCTATGGGAGATCATGTAAAGAAGAAAAATCAACTTAATTTGATGGAAGTTTGAATAGATGAAGTATGTTCTACTCATTGAAGACTTGGTAACAGTGGATTAGTTACCATAAATTCATCTAGGCATAATAGAATTGCCTCATCAGATATTTCTCCTGCAACAACTTCAAGTGGATCTGCCAGACCCTTGTGCTTCTGCAAAAAATTAACAAGCAAGATGAATTAAATAAACAAAAATTAATTTTGCAAATAACTGCTATTTAATATACTGCACATTGACTACCTCAATTTTCTTTTGCAACAAAATCGAAGAAAAATTTCTATTATGAGAAAGAACATCAATATAACAGATTCCAAATAGTTCAAGACTAAGACTTGGTTGAATTAGATTAACTTGAAAAAGAACAAAACATTAACCATAAGGTAATTAGTATAATTAATTATCTTAACCATTGCACAACAAATAAAAACTTAAAAGAGTGTTATCAGATTTTCTTCTTAATTATGAATGAACTTAATTTGATGAATAAACACAAAAGCTGAATCTTACTTGCAAGCGGCTATGAATATTCAACATGAAGTCATGAAAATGAATACGTCTTTTTCTCCAGCTGCAGGGCCTAAGGACATAGAAGTCGTATATCAAGAGACAAATCAATGAAATAATCCAGACAATAATGATGTCTAAATAAAGATAAAATGACTCGGAACTACTGACACAGTGTATCTATACAGCATTTAGACTTCTAGTTTAAACAATGATTCTGAGGATGATAACAACATATCAACAATCAAGTAAAGTAAATCACAAAAATTAGTAGCATACCCAACTTACAATTGATCGAAGAACAAGTCCATTAACATAGTTTTTCCAGTGCCTACTCCTCCATAAAGATAGAGCCCTTTTACAGGCGAGTAAGAAGCCTGAGGCATGAAACGAGACCACAGCCACCTACTCCTGAAGACATGCAAATTTATGATCAAGTGAGATATTGTTTATGATATTAGACCAGAGCAACATACTTGAATATCCCAAGAAGCCAATTAGAGAATACAATAACTCAGAAGGCAATCTCTTGCAAATTAGTTCGAGGATGGGCAACAGAAATAGTTCAAGGATGGGCAATAGAAATCAAAAGAAGAAATAAACAAACATCACCTTCCAGATTTCTCTGAAGATGTATAGCGATCCAACTGGCATGTGTCAGCAGATTCAGCAAGCTCGTCATAGAGTCTCTGAAGTTCTCTCAAAGTACCTAACTGCACATAGGCTTCTTTTAACCTTTGAACAAGGAAAACCAGGGAACAGCCTCAAAAAAAATTCATGTTCTCAGTCCATTCGACCTTTCAGGCTTTAGCCATCTAATAGTAAACCCACTATTTAACACAAATCAAATCGTACTACCCTCCATTAATTTATGAAAGAAATAATTGCAAATTACTTCAATGAAAATGTGTCTACGATTCATTAAAAGTAACGCAAATCCTAAATGAAAAATTATCTCTCCGTTAATCTGAGAATATGCTTGTCAAAAACACGCCACAGCAGGAACAATAAATGCTCGCAAATAGACTTTAGGTATCCATAAGCCGTTACCATGCCTGCAAATTCTAGTCAGGTTATAAGAAACAAGCAAATGAACCATGCAAAAATAAAACTGCTATCGATACCTGGCACGTATCCCCATCCACAAGTTCACCCGCTGTTATTCTTCGCTCATACTCCACGAGAGGCCCTGCTCTGTTCACGTCTGTAGCTAAAAAGGAAAACAAAAACAAAAGCAAAAACAAAATTCACTTTTTGTAAATTAAAAAAATGGAGGTTCCTATAATCAAGAAGTGAAAAAGAAGCACCAGAAACGGAAAGGAGACAACCTCCAATTGTAACTTTGGCATAATCAGCTGCCGTCGACAGAGCTCTTGAGATCACAGATGTAGGAGTAAAAAATCTACTTACATCAGCATTGAAAGTAACTCGATAAGCAGAAGCAAGATTCGCATCTATCGAATTCTTTGACTTCTTCGCACAATTGCTCGAGTAATTGACCTGATGATGCCGTAAAGCAGCTCTTATGCGGCGAACAGATGGAAATATCGCTCTCATCTTCAATCCAATGGAAGTCTCCACCAAAATTATCAGCCAATATTTTTTGATAAAACCGCACAAGCTCAAATGACTAAAGATTTCAGCTCCACAATACAAAAGAATCCTGATATCCAAAACAAAAAGAAAAAACCGTTGATTATTACAAACAGCAAAAAGCACCGAAACTGAAAATTAATACATGATCAAGAAAAGTGTACAGGAATTAATATTCCACCATCAAACTGATGGAATAAAGAATCGAGATACATGCATACACCGAAGCGGCAAAGGAGAACATGCAACCAATAAGAAGCAAAACAACTTTTCTGTTCATCATTTAAAATATACATTATTCGTAACAAAAACAAAGTCTCATCTCTGATGGCGTCTTCCCTAACAAACCGCAATAAATACACAGCACTCCACAGGGAAAAAAAAAAAAGAAAATCAATCAGGCAACCAAAAAAGAAGCACCTGATTCAGATAAACGATGATTCTCTCCACCTGAAGAGTTGCAGAAAGAACAAAACCAGAAGAAGATGATGGAAATGATGTTGTGTGTGATTCTTTTGGTTCTTGAATTTCTGTTTGGGAAACGAGAAAGACGAATCCTGTGTTTCGGGAGATGAACGGGCCTGATAAAATATGAGAGAGTCTATCGAGGTTTGGATCTCCAAGTTCTTTTGAGCTGTTTCGACTTGCGAGGTGTTGTTCTCCGGTGCGTTTGGGTTTACACGTAGGCTGGTGCTGATTGACTCCGTAATCCAATAAAACCAAAAAAAAAAAAAAGACAAACATGATCTGTAAAACTACGCTCTTGTGTAATTGGTTTTTTTTTTTTGGCATTTTCAATTTTATTTTATAATTACTACTTACCCAGATTAAATATCGTTTATATATATATATATTTAATTATATATTTTATTCAGAAAATTTTCTAAATTTTAAAATTTTTAAAAATATATATATTTTATGAATTACTATATATTTCATTTCCTCACTATTTATTATGTTACAAAATATTTTATCTAAAAATAATTTGAGAATATGAATATCTTAATCACTATTAATAATATTGTATATCTTATCAATAAAGTTGTAATGATAGATATTATGGGTGGATCGTTTTTATAATAGGTGATTAAAGTAAAAAAAATCAACTTTGATAATAAATTTTTAAATACTAATATTATGAACTAATTTGACACTCTCAAAAATATCAAAAATTTTGGTTAGGCATAACGTTCATAAGATTAACGTTGTATATGAAACTCTCATATTTGATTACTATTCTAATCAAACATCCAGACGCAACATCTCCAAAATTCCTTTGAATAAATTTATTAATATTAAGTTTGAACCAACTTGTAAATAAAACACACTAGTTAACTAGAAGTATCGAGTGAGAATTTTTTACTATGTTAGGGTTATCACATCTCAAGTAAATCTTGTGAAATTTTAAATCAATCTGAATAATTTTTTGAAAAAACAATCTCAAGCCACGGAGGTTGTATGAATATGATCACTTTTTTTCCTCTAAATAATCTATTCAATTGTCGAAAAAATTATATTTTAGCTTACAATATAATGGGTATTAACATCATTGTGTAGATTTTAATTAAGTCACCCATCAAAAGAAAGAAAAAAGAAAGTATGAAAACATATAAGCAAATACAACGATTAAAATTGATTATCAAAATATTATTTTTTTAATTTAAATTTCTCATAAAAATATTTAAATAATTTATCGATTTTTTTTTGAAAATTATAATAATAAAAATACTCACGTGAAAACTTTGTTTCATAGATATTATTATAGTTAAAGTTCTATTAAATATTATGTAATATAAAATATTAACAAATTTTATGTAATATTTGGGTAAATGAATTTGCCTATTCAATTAATAAAGCTGATTGTGACTCGATTACAAATGAGTCATGTGACAATCCCACAACGTTATTGCTAATATCCACTTTGGGTAGGACCATGAAGGATAAGGATTTCTATTTATTTTAATAATTTTATTTATTTTTTAATCACATGTACGTAATAAGAAAATAACAAATAAATTTATTCATACAAGTTATTTTGTCACCGGCAATTTAAGTTTAAATTCATTAATATTAATTATTTATTATTTAAAATTAATTAATTAATTAATGTCGAAAATAGTGAACAGGATTAAAAGCAAATGATGAGAAAATTACGGCTTCGAGTCTCACAGTAATTTGTAAATTTTGTTTTTTACTATTTACCGTCACTGTCTAAATTAATGATGGTTGATGCTATTTTTTTAACCACCCACGTGCTGGGTTTTGATGATTATATCTGTTCACGTTGTGGGCTAATTACTGTAATTTACTTTTTATTAATTTTAAATATTTTTAATTTCTCTATGGCTTATTAATAAATATATAATTTTAAAAAAAATATGTTAAAACACTTATTTACCGTTGAGAAAAAGGAAAATTACCTTAGCCGCTAATCGGTAAAGAATTTCGCAGTAATTAAATTACAAATTCAACTGTTTTATCCTACAAAATTTACTGTTTCTACATCTACAGAGACTACACGACTGTAACTAATCATCCAAGAATCTTCCCCAAATAACCAAGTCTGGATCGAAAGAATGCACCGGAAAATTCTCTTGAAATTCACCTCTCGAGCGGAAATCGAAGAAATTCTCGACTCCATGAACAATCAAATGGCCGTCATTGTACACATCCCATTGCTTAATACCGACGCCATTGATGGAAGGAAAACCGTTCTGGCATCCTTGAGAAGTCACAACGAGAATTTTCTTCTCGCTATCCATAGTGACCAGCTCCGATCCGTTTGGCAGAGAACCTGATTCGAAACCTTCTTTGTCGACCCTCGCCATCACTGCTTGGTATTCCAGTGAGTTCCACCATTGAAGGTTAACAGCAGCTCCGTTTGGAGGAACGAAAATCGTAATGGAGTTATTATTGTAGATGGTGACCGTGCCGTCTTTGCCGTCGCTGTAAGGCACCAAGGAAGGGAGTTGATTCTCGAGAATCACTGACATGACCTCATACCCGGCGTTGGATAAGGCTTTGGTGATGTTCTTGATGGAAACCACGGCCTTGGAGCTGTTGATCTCGCTTGTTTTGAACGATGAGCGTTCGTATTCGATGTTCAGGCCATGGAGGTAAGAATTCCAATCATGAGGAATAACTCTGAATTGCAGCGTCGGTAGGGTTTGAAGGAGAAAAAGAAGAAAACACAGAACAAAAACCTTACTCGACGCCATTTAATATTATTGTTATATTACGCAAACAATAGCAAATAGCATTTGGAAGGAACAATTACAATGCGAAAGAAGGCTTAGGCTCTGTTTATTTATAAAAGCAAGGATATCCGAATTCAAGTCTGCTTGTAGCTTATCCAGTTAGAATCCGAGATGGATTAGGATTCTAATATTCGAAAAGGAATTTAATCCCTGTTATTTCTCAGCAGCTCCAACAGACGCCGAGATTGCCAGTGACCTCTGAGATTATACATAAAGATACAATGCTGGTGCTGTATGCCTGTAACGACACCGAGATAATCATAATCAAAGAACCTTCCACTCCATGAACGATAATTTGCCTATCGTTCTAATCATTGGTTGTATCAAGCTGGATCAGGCAACCGATGAGTTAACTTCGGGTTATAAACTACGTTGCCTGTGGCGATCATCTGCAATCCATCTGAATGCCAGTTCCCCTGATCTCGCTCAAGTTTCGGCACAGATCCAGACAAAACTACCTGCTTATCGACTTTCATTTTTGCAATCTGATAAAGCAGAGAAGCACAAGTCGATCTTGAAACTAATCGCTTTGGCTCCGAGGAACAAAAATGGTGAGAGCAACAGTAGTAGCGGTGGTGTATTATTTTTGTTTTTTAAAAGAAAAATGAGTGCAGTCTCTTCCTCTCTCACAGTTACAGAAGTGAGTGAGAATTATATAGTTGACCAATTTGGTTCCCTGAGATTTAAGCTTTTTGTTCTAAATTACTTGTGAATTTATGTAGTCTCTTCCTGGAAACACATGCTTGGTGAAATTTCCGGAAAATATTTTGAAGTCCTGGTTTTATATATCGATATAAATCAAACATATCAAAGACAAAAATAGTTATAAGTAAATATTTACATTCCTCTTCACTTACAAACCAGAGAACCTTGACTTATTTTCTCTTTACTTCTCTCTCCCCTCCCTAATGCCTTTAAACAGCCAAGCAAAATAATAATAACAATAATGTAAGAATTCCCACCCCTTAAATCTCTTTTCCCAACTCTCAAGCATACCCAAAAGCAATTCAATCTCGTAGGCTATTCTACAATTACAATTAGTGAACTTGCACCCAACTAGTGTTTATAAATAGTAGTACAATCTTTCTGAGCTGAAAAAATAAGTTAGCAGCCAATACTCATGATTTCTTTGATAGTGCCTGAGTCGCTGTTGAAAGATTAAACTCGCGCTCCAAAGCCCACACGGCTTCGTTCTGATTGTTGATGGTTAAGGTGTATTCTTGGAAATATCCGTTGTATGTTACTACTGAGATAGTGAACCTATAACAGAAACACCATAAAGAAGACACCAGTCAATCTGACAGACAACCGTAGATATTTTACAAAGGGTATAAATATTTAGTAGCTTGTGGGAACAGGGAACCCATGGTAGCATGCAATAAGACTTGTAGTAGCGTGCCATTATGGTTTTTTTGGAGACATCACACTTAATGGGAACCAGATAAATATATAATGTTGGATGATTACAGCAAAAAGTTACTAAAATATTATGAAAAATATTACTATAGAGGTATAATGTTTTTGAGGCACCATAGAATTTTCCACACTTGTGGGAAGTAGATGGACCAACGGAGCAAGAGCTCCAGATCAATCGTGAGACAACAAAAGCAAATTAAGTTAACAATGACAAGTCCATACTTATGACTGACAAATACATGACATATTGGAATATCTGAATATTTGCATCTCTAGAAATATGCACATGCACGAGTATCTATAAGGTTTGTTCCTTGTTATTCAGACCGCACCTAGATTAGCAAATGATGTGAAGATGAAAACCTACCAAAATGTTCGACATGCATCATAAACAGTTGAATCAAAAAGTAGAGATGAAACCAAAACCGGACAAGGATGCAACCAAAGATAATTTCAACAAGATTTAGTCATTTAAAATGTTTGCAGCTCATTTAACGAGTATGATCCAGGTGTATATATGTACTATTTGTACCTCCGCATGGTTTTCAAAGAAAGCCCTTACAACTTACATGATTGTATCATTCTCGACCAAAATAAAAATCCCAGAATCAACAGCAATACCATCTAGTCAATTATTATCTCATTTAATTATATACGAACCATCCTAAATGCATTATTCAGTGCAAACAAGTTTGACATTTCCTAACTTGGTAATATTAAATGTGCTCTATCTTGATGATACATTTTATCTGCCTTTGCATTACTTTTGGATCAATTTATCACAAATCTCATTAGCTAGTAGGCTCCCAGAGAGCTAACATGAAATAACATGTTGCCACAAGAAAGAAGGGGAAATAGAAAAAGGAGCTCATATTTCAGTGCCCTTGGTTTAGATCACATAACTCACCTACAAGCTACAGCCTTGGATAAGGAAGAAGCAGGAACCTTCTCTATCTTGCGAACCACTGCACAGCTGGACCCAGAAAAGCAGATTTCATTAATTGCTGTTAAATGGAGTAATATATACAAGTAGACATTTTTTCTCCGCTACATATATATTTAATTTTTTTCTCATATATTTTGTACTCAGACTCTAAGCAACAATGATGCCATAAAAAGAGTGACTCAATCAATTTCATGGAGATGGAACGTCGGACCAAAACTTTGAAGTGAGTACAGGAGTAATAACACCAAAAAAACAGATTGAATTACTGACTAATCAACATTATATTGTTACATATAGACTGGGCAAAATCAAGGGTTCAAACAGTTGAACTTAGACTGAACTTTTTGGCTGTAGATGAATTTGATAAGAATAAATAAGGGAATTATTTGAGAATTGAAACTATCAAAAATAACCAAGAACAAATAAGACAAACAGGAAAAGTAAGCTGATAATATTGAAGCTTAGCTGAGGAAGATGCTACCAAACATCAGATCCATAGGTATGGTTATCCCATTTGTATAATATCTTAGCGCTGATAGACGTACTTAATTATCTGCTAATAACTTAACAAAGACACTTAGGGAATGCTTCACCTTTTGACTCCAGCTGAAACAGCATTATGAAGCACATGATGATGAGCTGGATCCAGGGCATCAGTCAGAGAATTGGGTAAAACTGATCCCAGAAAACTACTTGATCTTCTACTTCTGCTAAGAGTAAAGTATCATATGAGGTCAGATAATTCTGCAAATTCTCCAAGTAATTTGCAACTGTAGATACGAAATAGAAACTGGATAATTCCATAAAGCCTTAACATGATTTAGAACAGGATAAGCATGAAACATATAATGCTCTTAAAAGCTAAAAAGGAAAACAGAAGCATGCTGCCCGCAACTTTTTGGTAGAAGAGAACTAAGATTGTCTATAATTAAAAGAAATTACTTTTACAATTATCAGGAGTTACTAAGGAGTTTACAAAATCAAAAATCTTCCATTCTTGTTCCCTTAAACCATCACAAATGCTGATTGTTCAGCGTGATGAAAAGAATATCAGATGCAAAAGAGATGAATAAAACTATATCCTATACTTAAGGTGTGAAGTATCGCTGATAAAAAGGACCAAGAGATTTTCGGTTTGTTATTCCAAGGAAGCACTGACTGAATACAAGTACATAAAAACCCAATGAAACAGCTGGGAAGAAACAAAAAAAGGCATATGCTTCCGTTCCACCTTTTTATCACTCAAATACTTCCTTTTCAAAAATATTAAAATTTAGCAATTTTTGTAACTGTAACAAAATGGAAGTACTATATGGAAAGAGGATCATGGTGCCAGTGAAATTCCAGGGATGCCTCTGTAACTCTAAGCCAATAAGAAAAGACAAATTGCATTGAAGCAAATAGTGTTAACATTGGAAAATCAATGTGGTAATAGCACATATACCAAGAAACAAAAGCAACTATATGTAGATTTCAAAAGGAAAAAAAAAAAAAGCAATTATATGCACTGTTCATATTGTGAACGAAAAAGAACACAAGCATTGCAAAGCATTGTTAATTTACTTAAAGGATAATTGGAGTAAATGCTAATGATAAGTAGGGCTGAGCATCCCAATACAGGCGTAGCATATACACTTCTGCAACCCCTATAGTTAAACATGCAATAAGCTCCCAGCAATATGTTTCAATCTAATGTAAGCAAAGTTAAGTATTCACTTGTTGCTCTGACCTCTGATTTATAGCCAATGCCAGAGAGAAAGCATGAAGAGTACCCGAAGTACTTGTGGCTACTAGAATATCTGGAAGCCGCATTGATGGTCCAAATGACAAGGAAAATATTGTTGATGGGTATGTCCCCCTTCGGAAACTATATGACTGCTAAGAAAACAAATATCAAAATCAACAAGAAGTAAATATTACACAATCAATATACTAAGATATGTTCCTAACATTTTAGCTCAGATACTCAATTAAATGAAAACGAAAAAAGAGAACAACTTGTTTTGATTGTGAAAAGGAAATCAAAGAAATATATGTTTGTATCTGACACGTCATATGACTAAATGGAACAGCATAAAGATTGATCCTGTCATTTGTTTCGTTCACCATGAGATCAATCACACTGACTATTAAATTTACCCCAATAGAGAAACAGCTGTAAATAGATTTGATGTATAAAATTTCTTGTGGGCATGCATGTGTAAATAAGAACTTGGCACAATTCGACTTGATGCCTTATGGATGTGGTCTTATTTTTTGAAGCTTCATTGGGTTCTGGGGGATCTATTAGTACTTAGTTAGGCTTGGGAGGTGGAACTTCCAGGGATCAAGAAAAGTTGTTTTCTATTATCCCTTCCTCTGTCCTTTGGGTAATCTGGGAGGGAGAAACAAGAGAGATTTTGGGGTTTCCTCTTTTCCTCAGATTTAGATATAACTAGTTCCAGACTCTTAATATATGGTTATCTGTATGCTAGATTTCTAGTGATGCAGATTTCAGAAACCTTTTCAAAATTTTATTCTGTATATAACTTATTGAACTTGCGGGCCACCTGCTTTGGTTATTTGTCAATATTTCTCTCAAAAAAATTAGTGCAAAAATATTAGCTATAATCTCATTGTTTCTCATCCATACTTCTCTCTTTTAATTATTCCGATTGTGAATAGAAACCATCAACAATCATGCATGAGAATCATTGTACATGATGTGAACTCCAATAGCTGGCAAATCTACTTCTCCTTTGGTTTTGTACCATTGAGTAGTATAAGTATGCTCATGATAACTACCAATTCACTTAAGTACATACGTGGTATCCATGTCATATACAGAGCATAGGAAGCCATTCTTCACCTTAGTTGCTTCTGAGACTAGATGAACTCTAATTATGGTTCCTTGTTCAGATGCTGTTGCAATGTACATCCCATTGGAAGAAAGAACAATTGCAGCCAATGGTCCACGATGAGCATCAATCTGTTGTAACCAATTCAACATAAATTAGATGACCTGGAGGATGGAAAACAACAATGATCTGCTCTAAATTCAATATAGATCAACAAAAGGACACAGAGGACGAGAAACAAATGATATGCTCCAAATCTGCACAGATCAAACAGAGGAAACATCTAAAGAAAGTCTCACATTTATGTATGAAATACTTCATAGACAATGCGGGTCAAGTACGATCGTAAAATCCTGAGAAATATCAAGATTCTCTAATTTGACAAGAATGGAAAATAATCATTCCCCATTTGAAATGTATGACTGCACAGGGAATTGACATAAAAATTTCATCTCAAGCTGCTAGGAAAAAATACGATCTTTTTGTTCATCATGTTGTTCAAAGATTATTTGACGAAGTCCCCTAAGAAGTTATTTATTTCAGCTGTTGTCTATGAAATTCTTAGCTGAAACACTTATTACGCACTGCAGAATAACTGAAAGATGTGCAAAAATTGAAGAATGGCTTTTATAAGTTGCAGTAAATCATCTGACTAACACGAAATGTAGAATTCGATCCTAATGCATTCTGTGTCTAGTAAAATAGAAAAAATCCTTCAATGCTGAAGTGAATATTCTGGATGACTTCTTTAGGCTCTTTGTTATTCTATTGGCGTTTAGAGTGACACATGAGATAACCCCACTTTAAAAGTTAGGTAAGCTTGGTCATATGATCTTGACTGCTGCTCCATATCAAAGGCTAATACCACACTACTTTGAAGATTGTTGCAAAAAGAGGATAAATAAGAGAATGGAATGAGATAAAATCCAAGTCTTAGCATACATCATGGATGAAGCTACCCTCTCACTACCTCACAATATGAATGGAGATCCATAACATTGTACACCAAAACAGATCCTTTGGTTGTACTTGCAGGAATAGCCAAGAAGCAACTGTCCAGACAAGGAGAGAATGCACAAAGTCCTGAAGGAAAAAAATGAAAAATAAAATTCTACAAACATTTGGCCCACGTGTTGCTGCGGGTAGTAGATAATAGATCAATTCATCTTGCCGCATATACAATAAAACAAAAGTGAAGAGAAGAAAAATTATATAGGTGTTTTGCCTAAACGCCACACATAAATAATTTGTCTTTAAATAATTTACTTAATGGTTAAATTTTAATACAAATTGTCTTTAAATGAAAATTTATAGCACATAATAAATCTCTAGATTGACAAATTTCTAAT